TCTTTGAGGAAAGGGTACAGGTGGAGTGTGATGTGCCAACTCTGGTGGAATCTTGAGGAATGGCAATTTCTCTTTCTTTTTCTTTTTCCCTTTTTCCTGCTTCTGCTCATCTTTCCTCAGGCTGGGTGGTTTCTCTTCAGCTTCAATTTCTTCATCAATTTTCTCATCAGATTCTTCATTTTTCTCTGATGAAGTTTCCTCTTTCCTTGGATCTCTCACTTCTTCTAAGACTCTCCCACTTCTCAACGAAATTGCATTTACTTGCTCACATGGGTTAGTCACTGTACTGCTTGGTAGAGAACCTTGCGGTCTATCATTAAGCTTCTCGGCCAATTGGCCCATCTGTACCTCAAGATTCTGAATGGATGCCCCTTGGTTTCTAAAATTTGTCCTCGTTTCATTCATGAAACCTGTGGTCTCTTTGATAAGAGTGTAATTTATATATTTTTATTCTTCCATATTATGTTTTTTGTCATGTTTTATGCCTATTTGAGTTGATTAGAGTTTATTTTGTGAGTTTGGCATAGTTGGATAGACTTTAGGAAATAAGTGGTAAAAGATTAGGAAATTCCAGATTTTTGTTATTCTGACCAGTGCTATGTTTTTCAGATTTTTCATGGAGTCAGAGTTCTTGATTGCAACAGTGTTCTTCAGAAAAAATAAATTTGACAAATCAAGCTTTCCAGAAAGGTATTATGGGCGAGAATCCGAGTTCGTTTGTGTCTTCATTAGTTGTTGCAAAACCGGACCTGGAATCCTAGTCATGGAAGGATTTCCTGGCTGAGTATTGAATCTTCGAATGGGCCTAACTGGAGCGTCAAATATCGAAAGCGGGTGTTTCAAAAGCCCAGATTCATCTACACATCCAGGACTACAATGTTTATGAAGTGACCGAGCCCAGAAAAGATCTTTTACATTGCGAGAATCCTGGTACAAGCTGGAGACAAATTCTGGAATCCATATCTGATAAGATTTTGTCAAATCTGGAAGTCTATCTTTTAGGAAACTTCTAGGAAAGATTTTCCATGATTCCTGGGGTAGAATTAGGAGAAAAACATGTTATTTATTCAGGAGTGTTAGGTTAACCAGGGGAGAGGGAGAACAGCAGTAGAGTATTTTTCTAAGTTTTTATCTTCTACGTCAAGATGTGAGGCTGATTTTTCTTCTTCAGTTCAAGGGGATTTTGAAGCCTAATTTCATGTCATTGGTGTAGCCTAACTTCAGTAACATTGTTCTTAATCTCGTTTTTATTGGAATTGTTTATGTTATTCTGTTTTAATTGTTTATAATTTTCTGTTTGGGTGATTTAGTAATGGCCTGCTGAATTATTTCATCGGAATTTTATCTGTTAGAATTAGGAATTGTGATTCGTAATTGTCCTTTTTCTATTCAATGAGTGACACATGATGATGCTGGTTATGGACAAGTTTTCGGTCTATTTCTTGAATAACATAACCTAAGTTAAATAATCCGAGCTTGCGTGATTGTTGCTTAGATTGATCTATTCTCCTAATTCTTAAGGCTGCCATTGAATTAAATTTAGAGAGCTTGTTCTAGGTTGTTCAAGGGTTAGTATCTACTCGAAGAGCTTGTTTCAGTAGTGACAAACTAAGGGAGAATTCGGGTAACAGAGCTTGTTTTTCCTAGGGTCAGTAGTTTCATAATGTGAGAATGAATAGTGTTACGGTTACTTTATGTCCAATGCATGTTTAGTTGGATTTTGAACCAAGAGCTGATTGTTTAACCTGATATTTTATTTCTCTGTTTTACTTTTGTTTGCCTTGATTACAAACCCCCTTTCATTACTGTGTCAGGTTTTCTGTTTAGAGTTTAATTTGCGTTTTTGTTGTTTTATTGTTTTAGAATATAGAAATTAATCGAGTCATTCCCTGTGGGATCGACCCTTGCTTGCCTTTTTACAATTCAATAGTTAGGTCAGTAAGGTTAATTAATTTGGTGCATTTGGCACGCTACCACTCTTGAATGAATTTACCAAACATGTCTTCCAACTTTGTCACTCTTTGATCTCCCAGTTGATTGGTCACCCCTGGTTGGTTATTTGGAACTTGCCTCTGGTTCCATTGGTTACTTTGCTGGTTCTGATTTCCCCAAGCCAGATTTGGATGATTTCTCCACCCTGGGTTGTATGGTGTGGAGTATGGGTTGTTTGGTTGTCTCTGTAATTCACTTGCTCCGTTGATAAGATGTCAAAGCAAATGTGTTCCCACTTGACACTCGCTGCTCACATGGTTTCCTGCACAAAATTCACATGTTAGTTGAGGTGCTTGTATAGAGTTTACATACATAGTTCCCAACTATTTTGAAGTGCATGAGTTGGGCTGAGATGGCTGTGAGGCATCAACTTCTTAACACCGAAGATTTCCTGTTGTAACCTCTCATTTGGTCTTTGATAGTTTGCTTGCCAAAACCTCAAGCAACTCATACGCCTCCTCTAGTGTCTTATTTGCAAGGCTCCTCCTGAAGCTGCATCCACCATGGTTTGCACATTACCCATCAAACCATTGTAGAATGTTTGGACTTGAAGCCAAACTGGCAAACCATGGTATGGACACTTCCTCATTAACTCCTTGTATCTCTCCCAAGCCTCGTATAATGACTCGGCATCATCTTGTAGAAATGATGTGATATCATTTCTCAATTTCGCTGATTTAGCTAGAGGAAAGAACTTGGTCAGGAATTTCTGTGCTAGATCATTCCACGTTGTTATTGTTCCTGGTGGTAATGCCATTAACCACCCCTTTGCTTTATCTCCCAATGAAAACGGGAATAACCGCAGCCTAATAGCATCATCTGACACTCCATTTGACTTGAAGGTGTCACAAATTTCCAGGAAATTTGCAATGTGCTGATTCAGATCTTCCTTCAAATCACCGTTGAATCTAACCGACTGTTGGATCATCTGGATGATTGCCGGCTTGATCTTGAAGTTGTTTGCTTGTACTGAAAATTCCACAATGGGAACTGAAAATTCCCTCAGTGTCCTGTTTTCTTGTTCAGCCATTTCAACAACTACTTCTTTAGATTCTATAGCAAGATTCTCTCTTTCTCTTCTCTCTGTGTTACGTCTTCTCACGGTCCTCTCAAGCTCAAGGTCAACAGGAACCACTGGTTGACGTCTTGCTCTTCGCATAAACTAAACGAACACAAGTGAAGGAAAGTGAGATCACAATTCTACTGAAAATTAAAAACAAAAATTAAAACTTCAATCTAGCTAAACTTAAAGAAAAACTCAATGTTAACTTAAAACAATCCCCGGCAACGGCGCCAAAAACTTGATGCGTGTTTCTTACAACATGGAAAATGTAGCAAGTATACTAGTCACACAAAATAATAAAATGATAAGTAGAGTATCGTTCCCACGAGGATTGTTAGCAAAGCACTGAGTTTCCTAATGTTATCAAGTTGAAGCAATCGAATTCTTTGGATTGGTGGGAGCAAGTTCTAATTGAAAACGACAATGAAATTTAACTTAAGATTAAAACTTAATTAAGAAAGCAATATGAAAACACGGATAATCAATTCAAGAAAAGCGGGTAGGGTTTTGACTTCATTTGGATTTTATGGGTTAAACCTAAAAATTACACTACATTCACGTTCATATGCAATGGTTGTAAATCGAACTCACTAAGGTGTTAAACATACCCTCTCGGGCTATGTTTTCCTATTCATCCTTATTAACCTTCCACACCCAACAAATTGAAGATTAATAATTCCAAACTCATTAAGCAAAAGAATCCTACAATGATTTCATTAATTCTTGAATCTATCTCTAGCATCCAATACTATAATGGTGTTTACCCAAGAAGCCTAACATGAATTATTTCTCAATCTCATCATGTTCATCATAAACAGCATTAAAATTCAGAGTAAACACATAACCAAAGCAGATTCATATGAAAACAAAACAATCTAACACTTAACCCATTAAAACTACAATCAAAACCCTAACCCATAAAAGATTAGTTCATAGCTAAATCAATAATACAAACACGAAAAACGGAAATAATCAAGTTCAACATAATGAAACTGAGATATAAGATAAGAAATCTCCCCAAAAGATGAATCCTTTAAGTAGAATCGAATCTTCTCCCTTTAACAACCCAAATCGCTCAAAGTTACTAAGAAAAATGTAAAAGTAGCTAACCCTAAAAAGATGAAGACCCCCTAGGCAAAAGGCTAAGTTTTTCTTTTATACTTCATCCAAATAACCCAGCTAAAACCCGCACAAAACGAAACTATGCGTTTAACAAATATGGAAAAGAATGACTGTCGCTGCGGCAAAGAAGAATTCTTCGCCGCGGTGAAGAATGAAGTAGACACACTCGTCCTTGGCTTACTTCGCCGCGGCGAAGACAATTCCTTCGTCGGGGCGAAGCTTCTTGAAAAGTTCTAAAATTACAGAACTGCCACTCTGCTTGCTTCTTCGTTTGATTCTTTGATTCTCGGTGCTCTCCCTTGGGAACAAGCTTCATCGTGCTTTATCCTGTTTCTGAACTCTCTTATCTTCTGAGATCTGCTAATTTCTAAGTCAAAAATATCCAATTTTGTCCTTATTTGCTCAAAATGTCCATTTTAACCTGAAACACGAAAAGTAAAGAATTAAGCAACAATTCAGGTCAAAATGCACTAGAAAGTACCTGAAATCCGACAAAAAGGTCTAATGAAAACTGTATAATTCACGGATTATCACTTACAATAATAGTTATCAGTCTACAATTAAGATGGCACCTTTTGAGACCTTGTATGGTAGACAATGTAGGTCTCCACTACATTGGGATGAGGTAGGTGAGAAAGATGAGTTGAATATAGCTATTGGGCCAGAGATGACTCAGAAATTGATTGAAGATGTGAGGCTGATTAGAAGCAGAATGCAACAAGCCCAAGATAGACAGAAAAGTTATGCTGATTTAAAGAGAAAGGAAGTTGAATTTGAAGTGGGTGATAGAGTCTTCTTGAAGGTTTCACCCTTTAAACGGGTAATGCGGTTTGGAAATAAAGGGAATCTAGCACTGAGATTTATTGGTCCTTTTGAAGTGTTGCAACAAGCTGGGAAAGTAGCCTACAGACTGGCACTACCACCTAGTATGGACAAGGTGCATGATGTTTTCCATATCTTGATGTTACGGAAGTATGTAAGTGATCCCTCCCATGTATTGAGCACAGAGGATGTAATTGTGGAAGAGAATCTCGTGTATGAGGAGCGTCCAGTTCAGGTTTTTGATCGGAAGATTAAAAAGCTCTGGAATAAGAGTATTCCTTTAGTGAAAGTCCTCTGGAGAAACCATAAAATTGAAGAAGCTACTTGGGAGACTGAGCAAGACATGCAAAATCGTTACCCGGAGTTATTTGTCTGAATTTCGGGGACGAAATTCTTATAAAGGGGGAGAATTGTAACGCCCCACTTGAGGTACGTAGTTAAGATTTGATGAATGGCTTGAATGTTTGTTGATTTATCCTCATTTGAGTCTGTATGTTGTTAATATTGCTTGGTTTATCCTTAGTTGAAAGGGTGTTTTAGTTTGGTTAAGTGAATGCCCTGAGAATTTGTAAGACTTGGCGAAATCTAGATATTACAGGCTTTGCCGGGGCGAAGAAGAAAGCTTCGCCGCGGTGATGAAGTGCTACATCCCGTGTAGTTGTTGTGAGTTTTCGCCGCGGCGAAGACTCGGTTGAATTGTTTTCCTTGAGTTTTAGGGAATTCTTCCTTTTGGGACTCAATGACCATTCTACCCGTAATTAGCAGGAAAAGTGGGGAGTGAAATGTAAGGAAATTGCATGGAGAATAGGTTGAATGGGGTTGTTTTTACAAAGAATGAAAGGTCATAGGTGGAATTTCAAAGAAGGAGCAAGGGTATATTGGGAAAGAGTGGAGAAAATATGAGATATTAATGGTTTAGCTTTAGAAACCCTTTCATTTGCTTCTTCACCACCGCCTCTTCCATCCTTTATTTCTCTCAAATTTTCATTCAAGTTTCCAAGGATCTTTGAAGAGCTTTTGACTAGAAATTGTTACAAGTTGATCCTAAGCACTAAAAGGTGAGAATCCTTACTCTAGATGTAAGTTTTATTGTTGAAAGAGTAGGATCCTTATTGAGTTTGTATTGAAGGTTTAAGAGGAAGAATCAAGCCTTCAAGAGTAGAAAGCTTAAGTGGGTTCTCCTTGAGCTTAAGGTAAGTAAATTCACCTAAGTTGTGATTTACTTGATTGAATGATGTGTAGAGATTTTATATATGTGCTTAATGCTTGAATTTCTATGTTTGAAATGAGTTGATGAATTCAATGTTGTTATATGAAAGAATTTCCACCATGAGAAGGGTGGATTGTGTTGTTAAAGTTTGGTAGAAGTGTGGATAGAATTAGAAGAATTTGAGAGGAATATTTGAAGTGTGTTTTCCTTGCAGGATGTATGATGTTTTAAAGGAGTTGAACTCCTATTTTGGATGATTAAGAGAGAAATATCATTAACAATTAGAATAGAGTTTATGTATGCACACATATTGTTTGATGAAATGTCTAAAAGAAGCATGAGTAGAAGTAGAGAACCTTACTTTATGCAACATAGCATATTTGCATGTCATGAATGCATATAAGAAAGATTTTAGGCATGAGCCATCCATATGCATATGTTTAATTGAGCAATCACATGAGAAAGAAATATGAGAAATGAGAAAGAAATACTCTATGAATAGAGATAAAGAAAAGAACTAATTCTCTTAGAATAAAGAGAAAGAAAGAAACTAGCACTAGAGAATAAACTGATTATTAAGTGCTACAGAAAAGAAAAGAAAATAGGTCCTGCGATGGGGAACCCGTGAGTGTAGAGTTACCCGCATGTAAACCGCCATGAGAGAAAGCGGTCTCCACCATGAGAGAGCGGAATGAGAATGAGACACAGAATCTGTATAGCCATGAGAATACATGCGAATGAGGGCTATACACGAGAGAGAGTAAACTCACATGACCAAGGGTTCCAAATCCATGCATCGACCAAGACCGGCAAAGAATAAGAATAAGCAAAGAATAGAAAGAAAGTGCATTGTTATTCTTTAATATCTCATCCATGTATGGTTTTGATATTCTCCATGGGTGATGAGAATAGACAGAAAGAAAAGAATGGTAAGAGTTAGAAGTAGAGAAAGAACAAGAGAGATTGAACTAGAGAGAGTAACAAGAGTACGAACAGATTTGTACGGGGAGTATAGGGTAGAAGATTTACTTACTGAGCATCTTTGTGTCACCCCATTGTTTTCTCTATTTTTCAGGACATAGGTGAGATCGTGGTCAGATGGACGTCGGCAAGCGGGAAGACTTGACTGCACTGTCCACTGTCTTCTTGAGAGTCTTTTGTACAATGATGTTGTACTATGTAAAGAATGTATTTATTAAGTAAAGAAAATTTTTGTACCCAACCTTTTTGATAATTATACTTGTCTTTTTATTGAACTATTTTGTGAATATGATAGTAGAAAGAAGTTGTTACAATCAATAAAAGGCATTTTATTCTATATCGCATAAATCATTATTATTGCAATATGTATTGATATATGTCCTTAGAATGGTAGAACCGTGACGAGGGTATCAAGCGTTTCAAATCTTGATAGTGAGAACCCTATGAGCACATATGGTGGCCATTCTAGAAACGTCCGTAGCCCCAATATTATTCTGAAGTAAGGGCATAGATAATACGGTAAGGCTATCATAGTGTTGAACGACCCTGTCGAAAGGTAGTGACTGATCTCACTTGTCAAGGTTATTGGTGACAACCTGGTGCAACACATGGGTGCTTCCTGTAGGCGAATACACCATAGCAAGTTCACTAGACTGACCCACCAGAGGATTCCATATCGATGGTAACCCTAGTGTCTATGGAGCAAATCCTCTAACGAATGGTGGTACATGTGATCCTTAGACTTGAGATCACCGGAGCGCCTTGTGTACCGATTGGTGTAGTTTGACACTAGCCTAACACAGTTCTATTCAGAGCTGTCAGTACGGTGGTGATTGGCTGCATCAAGGAGTGTATCAAGACTATGATGGATAGACAAAGGATTCATCACTCCCGGGTACGGGAGAAGTTATCTCACAGCCCAATTCAGTATATGGCAATGACATTAAAACTGTGGCCACAGTGGGATTGAGTTGTTGCTCTATCCAGTTTATAATAAAGGTCATTGGTCCAGAAACTGAATACATAATATCGAGAGTAACTGAAGGTTGACACTATTTCTATGCCTTCATCTCGTCGAGATAACGTATGATGAAAGGATCGAATTGTACGGTACACATATCGTTGACAGCCAGCTACTTTGCTGAATCCGAATCTATCAGGTGGTCATGATGCCTTGCTAGGGGCCAATCTTGGTCTGTGTATTAGTGAAACAATTAATTGGTGTTAATTACGATACTATACACTACCAGTATGATGAGGAGCCTATGGGTCACACACATAGGAGATAATTTAAGACTCAGGAAGTAAGAAGGGCGTTTTCGTCTTTTTAGGCGAAAGGGTATTTTGGTAATTTCACAGTGCAATTAAATTTGTTGAGGTCGTAGCCTTTTATTTAATTTGTTAGAAAAATTAAATAAGTGAAATTACATTTAAATATGTGTTAGCATATATTTCAATAAATTATCACTATTGTTAAATGTTAATATATATATATATATATATATATATATATTAAATATATATTAATTGATTTTAATTGAGATAATGATGAATTAAAATAAATATCTTATTGGGAGTGTTTGGAAACAAGTGGTGTTTGGGTTGGAGCCCAAGCCTATTCCATAAGGGAATAGGGCAATTAAATTTTACTATAAAAGAAAAAGGTTATTTGTAAAATGTGAGAGATTCATTCATTTGATTATTCATTGAAAAGAGAAAGAGCTACAGCCCCTAAACACTCTCACGCCAGATTTGTGTTTTTGCCTAAAATCAATTACTCTTCATTTCTTCTTTGTTCTTAAGGCTAAAGAGGGATCTAGCAAATCCCTTCTTAGTTCCTTGCGATTGTCTTCGTGTGGACTACGTCGGTTCGATCCTGCACTTGGGTTGGTAGCAAAATACGTTCAGAGACAACTTGGAGGAGCCTCCAAACGTGCGTATGATTTCTTAAACTCTAGATTAATTTTTTGTAGATTCTTATTTGGTATAAACTGTAAAATTATACCCATATCTTGGTTCTATGGAACGATCCTTGTTATTATTGTTTTTGTTTTCCGCTGCCTCAATGGATTGTTTCCTAACATAAATGAGACGATTCAAAACCCCAAATTGAAATAGACATCTGGAACTACAATTCTTATGAAGGGGCCCAAGTCTAGAAAGCTCGTTGTCCTGTCCAAAACTGACTTGGAAGTTACGGCTTTAGCCTAGAAGCTTTAATCCTTAGCCAATTTGGATTATTTTTGCATGGCTAGTATAAAGACTTGGTCCAACTTCAAGAGGGAGTTCAATACAAGTCTGGAGGGCTGGAAATTCGTGTGTATGAGTTGGAATTTCACTTACACAAATTAAGGGCAGGTTTGAAAAGAGAGAAAGTAGTGTTTTCCTAAAAGGGTTTATTTTAGGAGTTGTTTTAAAGGGAAATTTATATACGTTTCTGCGGGGAGATGGAAAACAGAACTTTTAGGCAGCTAGGGTTTTAGAGTTTGAGACAGAATGAAATTTTTTTTTTTCCTCTTCTTTGTGCCTTTCATCTCATCATGTTGAGCTAAATTCTTTTGTTCGATTCAAGGAAACACCAATCCGGTTAGCATAATTGTGAGACTTTGTTCTTAATTTTAGTTATTCTTACATTCGTATATCTGTGTTTCTTTGTTTTATTTATTATGGTTGCATGATTTAATTGATTAAAGAGGCTTGTTAATTGATTGATTGTGCGATTGATTGCTAAACTTAATTTGTAATCGGTAATTGTTATAATATTTAGTTAGAGTAGTAATTGAGCAAAACAATTGTGATCCAAGCTTTTGTTGATTATTTAAAAGAAACATGGAATGAATTAAATAATCTGATGCTTGTTTGATTGTAATTCATCTTTAACTACTTCCTAATTCGTAATGCTATTAGTAAAGTCATAAGGATTACGTAATACCAAGTGGTTTATTGGTAAGAATTACTTTGTGTGCTGGGCTTAGATTAATGAACTTAGGGAAGACAAAGATTGTCTAGCTTCTTGATAATCTTTGGTTAAATATTCAATTAAAGAATAATATATAAGTCAGTGATCAGTTTGCAACCATGGGTAATTTCCTTGAGTCGAAGTCCTTTTTTTTATTAAATTCTCTTTACTTAATTCTTGTTAGTAGTAATTAATTTTAGAAGTAAAATTTCCTCCCTTTTTTATT